TGAGATTAAAGGACTGGTGTGATAACATCAAGTTTTTCTGTTTAAGTTGAAAATCAAGGTCATAGATAACTTAAACCAATGATGTGTGGTGTCTGGAAACACGCTAAATGAGAACATATTCCCTGCTGCTTTTCTGATATTATTAAATTACAAGAAACTGTGAGATCCAGTTTATTTGTATTTACTACATTAAAATAACAACTTCATAGGACTCAGGTTTTCAAAGCACAGATGAATAGAGCTTAGTGATAACTGTGTATCTATGGCAGCAAGTAGACTAAACTTTTGACTGGTCTATGAGGGGCTGACACCAAATGATGACGACAGAACATGCAGAGGAGGAGACATTAAAACAGCCACACGGTTCAAACATCACTTGCACAGTCAGAGGTCAGAGAGGAATCAGACCTAGGGCCCGATTTGGTTTGGCATCTGTAAAAAGGTCAGATCTAAGTCATGGAGGTGGGGAAAAGAATAAAATCGGATCTGGGCCACTTCAGCATGTAATGTGAACATAGTGTTTGTTGACTCCACATGCAAGTAAAAAAACCAAATCAACAGCAATGACTAAGAGTACTTACGCACTTCGGCATCTTTAAAAAAAGCAGTGATCTATAGATGCCACATCTAGCATAGGCAGTGGCTTCTGGAAATAACTGAGTTCAAGTATGTCCCTGGTTATAAATGGACACAGCTGAATGCAAACTGAATCTAAAAGCAAAGGTCACTTTGAAAGTGTAATTAAACAATAAAGCAAAACTATCAAAAATAGCTTTTTGTTTTTGACTTCTTGAATTCCCTACATGAATCTGGTGCCAAAAATAGCCACCTCCTGCTGTTTAAGTAAAATCTCATGTAATGCATTCAAGCATGTCTTATATGTTTATTTATTGCATTAATTGTGCTTTATAGCAGAACTGTAGCAACAAACACACACTGTGAAAAAGGTACACGTTCAGCCAGCAGCCAGACATAGTGCAGTTTTCCCTGCATTGCCAAACAATGTCCTGATATCCCTCAGATCACACTGGTTAAGATGCTGATAGATCCAAAAGAGCATTTTTAAAGCAACATATTTCCTGAGGTGAGACTCAATTATCAAATATTCCAAAGAACACTCCAGAGAAATGAAGCAAATGTATAAAGTAACATCCTCAACCCTCATTAGGCACTGAACACTAAGGTACAATGGTCAATGGTGCACCTTTTGAGCAAATTAGCATTGTATTTTTACTGCAGTACTGCAGTATCCATTCACTCACTATAAACATTGTAACAACCTTTAAAGATTATCAACCACCAAGAGGAAACAGTGAAGTACAAAACCCCAGTAGCGCAGTGCAACATGTCATTTACCTGTCAACATGTACTGGAGGTCTGTGGTTGTCAATTTCTTGTAATTATAGTGCAAAATTACTGAGCAAGACATGTCAGTTGGTACATCAGTTGGTACGTCTTTACTCATCAATACCACAGAAGTAAAACTATATTGCTATAAATTATTCCAGCCTGATAATTCTTTCCCAGTAGCAGAGCAAACGATTATATATACCCATGTTTAAGTGTATATATTCACACATTCATAAGAGGAAATTACATGAATAACAAAAGCCTTCTTTCTTATTGACAAAGTGTGTGAGGAGTAAACTAAGTGCTCCCTCAGCGATAGAGGCACATGCTGGTGCTCTGGTACAGGTACATGTAGGCATCACAGAAGAGACGTTTGGCCACACCTTTCATGTCTCGTGGTACCTGAGTGGCCAGCTCCGCGGGGGACATTTCCAGGTACATGCCAACCTCAGGGCAGGTGTGCACCTCAGGGATGTTGAAGCCATCTATCCCTCCTGAACACAACAAACAGCTGAGCTAAAGAGGATTTGTATAAATGATATGTGAAAGAAGGCAGTGCATAAAACAAGGCCTGCTCACCTTGTCTGTCAGCCATGCTGTCAAAGAAGATCCAGTCTTCGCTCTTTGGTCCGTATTTTATGAAGGACACGTAGTGGCTCGTCTCAATGCAGAGCACAGCAAACAGCTCCAGTTTGTCTCTGGTCAGGGCGTGAGGGTTGCTGCGACCCAGGTAACCTATTGGGATTTCTAGAGCAGCTGGGTGATGGGACCGGCGCTGGGGGTGAGAGTGCACCTGAAAAGAAAGACACACCGTAAGAGCTAAAACTACTACTACTCTACTGTCTTATAATCCCATTATTTAAAATATATATTTTTTATTTTTGCACATGCTCATATGCAAAAACCACTGTTAATGAGCTGCTGTAAAATAAAGTGCACAAACAGATTCAGAAAGAATTCAGCTAGCTGTTTTTTAAGTCTGACAAGATTTGAGACAGAAGAAGAAATAATTTCTAATGTGCTACCAAACTAATGCAGGGTTCACACATTCAAAACTTATTTATTCAGGATCCACACCCTCCAAACCCACTCAGACCTTAGTTGTAGCTAACACAGACAAAAATCGCTTGAGTGTCCAGACCTGAGATGAGCACTTCTCGCAGAAGACTTTGAATCCTGTTTGGTTGAAAACAGAATCTTTAAAACAGTCGCTGCACTCTTTCTCAGCCAGGTTTCCACACACTATGCACTGCTGAGGACCTGAAACACATACAACATGCTGTAGTCACTTGTGGTTTTACATGCTAGTCTGTGTGCACTGTGCATGTATATGTTTACCTTCAGAGAGGAGGTCAGTGATATCCAGCTCCAGAGAGGGAATGATCTTGTCAAACATTTTGAATTTCTTCCCAAAGCGAGGCATCTGGAGGATGAGGCAGGAGGGCACCTACAAAGATTATACAGAGAGAATACACAGAAATGAGCTCATTCCAGGAGCTGAGAGGATCTGCTGACAAAACTGTCCAACAGAGCCCCCTACTGGAAAATCAAGTTACTGTTACATTTTTGGAAATACACTTTTTAGTCAAAGAAATATTTAAAAGTACACTGTTTTGATGGTGAAAATAATATATTGCAGCATTTGTTATTTATTTTACTTTTAGTACATGCAACAATAAACTGCTAAAGCATAAAGGGTCTGATGAAGGGATTTATACATGTGTGGTTGTGATATCAAAGTCCACTTTGAAGAATAACCTGAAAGTGCTATACTAATATTACAGAAAATGCAAGGTCTACTAGAACGCCCATGGATTTCACCTCTGCCAGCTTGAGTCCTGCACCGTGGAAGGAATGTTCCAGCAGCTGCTGGACTGTGGGCAGAACCAGGCTGTGGTTCTGGTCCAGGAAGATCTGATAGCAGTAACTCTCCTGCACTTTGCCACCAGCTGAGCTACATGGGAGACGCAGAGTAATGTGAAGCATTAATGTAAAGTTAATCGTGTTAGTGTGAAGTGGTATTTAATAGTGCCTACAGCTTGAGTAGAGGGTCCAGGGCGAGAATGTGGTGCATGATGACAGTGAGGAATTCCTCTGGGTCTGAAAAAGAAAAAGAAAAAACAAAACAATCACATCAACAGTCACTCTTAATCAACAAAACATATCAGCTGTTGCAGAGCTGTCCTGAGCAAGCTGACCCTTCTCCTCTGTGGTGAAGGAGTGACTGTAGCCGTGTCTCTGTAGCTGCTGCCGGAGCTTCATGACGTGGTGCCCTTTCACAAAACCCTTACTGTGAACAACATATAGAAAGCATTACATACAGAGAATTTATGCAATATGGAATTACCACACAAAAACACTATACAAACCACATGAAAGCATGCACCTGCGCAGGGGGTTGACAATGTTGTGGAGCAGTGTCTTCTGAATTGGGGCTTCTTGAGGTGCTGTTGATTTAAACAGCATGGAGTCCAACACAGAGGAGCAGGAAAACAAACTGAAATCACAGACAGAAACAAGAGCTATGCATAAAATCCACATTATGCTCCCTGGTAAGAAAAAAGTTTTAAATGGGCTTTCCTACAGCGACTTTAGATTCCTTTCAGTATGCAAAAAAGTAAACCTGCGGAGCTATGAAACAAGCTTCAGTATAATGGAAAATGCTGGACACAAAGACTCATCGTTTTCAAATCTATAACTGGGCTGCCAAAAACACTGCCTTCACTTATATTACCAAGAAATCACCTGAGAACACAGCAGACTACGTGTAATGAATGACCTGAGTTTGGAAATTTCTTGAGTTTAAAGGGCTCAGCATCTGATTCTCAAACCTCTGACACTGATCTTTGAGTGCACCTCCAGGTAGAGATATGAAAATGAACCCTGTTTGCAACTGAATTATCATTTACAACAGCACAACCATTCAAAAACCTTCTGTTCACAGGGCTAGTTTAACATGTGCAAGTTTCAAGTCTCTGCAAGTTGAATTCCAAAGTGCAGGAAATGATCCCGAATACTACTGAAATACTTTGGAAAAGTGTTCTACAATAATCTAAACATGTTGATTTTGGAATAAAACCTGCTTGGGTGTATAATTTGTTCATATGACGATCCTCCTGACCTGAAGAGGGCAGCATCCATGTAGCAGGAGTTACAGTGGCCTTGGATCCCCTTCATTCGTCCAACCAGAATCTGATTGACCTGCTCAGTGCTGATGGGAGGAACAGTCTCCAGCCTGCCTGTGTTGTGCTCTGTATCACTCTCTAACATAACACAACAGTACAGACATTAGTTATTATGTATGTACAGTACCTACAACACATTACACAATAGGCAGGTTGCAGTGATGCCTGCAGCTGGCAAATACAATAGTCAGCTTTATGTGAGGCAGTCCTTTATGTATCATTTTCTTAATTTTTAAAATATATCTTTCCAATAGATGGGCAGTAAACAATGCAATAGCTGAATTGAACCAAACTATTTGTAACTGTGAGCAGGGTCATGGTTCACCCCCCAGATCAAAACTGTCCTCTATAAAAGGACATGAGTAAAATAATCCACTGTGAACAAACGGCTGCTCGAGACTAGTCAGAAGTTAGTCAGTCCTGTTCTAACCTGCGTCTTCCTGATTTGGCATCTTCTCGCTGTGATTGGTCGATAAGCTCTGAAAGCGCGAGTCAGGACGGAGGGACCTCAGCTTCACAAACAGACCTCTCTTAGGAGGACAATAGAAGAAGCGCTGATTTTTAAAGGTACCGTCACTCACTCCACAGTCTTCGTCCTTCAGAGGGAAACAGACTGATATGACAGATGTCTGAAAGTGGATCCAAGATTAAATTAAAGCAAAACGAAACAACTTAAGAAAAACAATTGTGTAAATCTCTAAAACAGCACCATCAGTGCTGAAGGTCAATTTTAAATGAGGGAGAGGAGTTACTGAAACCTAAAATGCCAAAAGCTTCAAAATGATTTCCAGCATTCCAAGTTTTCTTTAATGTGTACGGATATATTGTAAATATTTACACAGAGTACACATTCAAACCATGTTCTGTATATTAGTTTGAATTAAAAATTGCCAAATCACGGCCGGCTAGGTTCTTTGTAGTGTTGAATCTCCACTGCAACATGTCAGTTTAAAGATTACCAGCTCCAGTCCAGCCATGACTGGCCCTCCATCGGTCACAGTGCCGATCCAGCGGATGATTCCACATGAATTTCCTGCAGCCAAGGTCACCTCGACCAGAGAGTTCACACTCAGATCCATGTGCAGATCATCGGTGCCTGGTTCTACCGGCGGTTTGTCAATATCCATGCTCTCTGGGTCTACAGTGAAAAATGTATTTGGCTCATATTTATTACAATTATGGAAGATATCATTGTTCTTTATTGTGTAAAAACCTACTCAAACCTGCAGGCACTTCTCCCTTTGACACTTGCTCTAGCAGAACTTTAACTTCACCCCCGGTCTTTCCATTCTCATCTCTGTCCTGGAAATGCCAACAAAGGAAACATAAATGTGACATGTGTACATAAAATTAAATATATCAAAAAAAGAAAGAAAAGAAATGGAAAAATGCGCACATATGAATAAAAAAAAAAAATCTTGAGAAAGTTCGCAAAATAAAGTGATTATTATTGTAAAAAAATAAAACCAAACGAGATGAGTTGTGGATTACCGTGTTTAATTCACCAAAGGAGCAGCACAGTAATGAACAGCAGCATTTAAAATGTAACTGAAATGATCAAACCATTATATTTAACTCTACTGGAGACCAGCTGTGATACAGATTTCTTCTTCAGGGATCTAAGGACAGAGAGTGTCGTATGCTGTATACACTACAAAGCCCCCTGAGGCAAATTTGTGATATTAGGATATATAAATAAAAATGGACTTCCTTTATATTTTTTGGCCAATATAAATACAAAAAAGTACATAAATACAAAAACTGAAACATTACTTACAGTGGATATTTGAACAAATGGTTGTCCGTGCTCTTCATGCACATTCACCACCATTCCATGGCGAAGTTGGTTGTTGATAAAGTAAGTGACTCTGTCTCCTGGGATTAGCTCTTCTGTTTGCAGCTCAAGGGTCTGCTCGGGGGTGGAGGGCGTCAAGGAGCTGGGAACCACAGGCCGGACTCTGGAGAATGGGGCAAAAACGCCACATTTTCTCTCACATGAGAAAAAAGTTCTAGAATTGTGGCTTCCATCAGAATATCCTTTCCTCCTGTCTTCTCCCTGGTAAAATGAACAGGAGCACACTCTAAGTTTAATAACTGTAAAGGATCAGCTCATCATAAACTAGAACATATTTCAACAAAGACTTCTTTTCTTTCCATCCATAGTGGTACTCGCCATGCAGGTGCTTTTGGTTTCATTTGCTCACATTTTGAGATATCCACCTCTGAGATTTCTGCCTCCACCCCACTACAAATGATGGTCACTCTGTTTGTGGTGAAGAAATACAATTAAATATGATGTTTGGCACCTTAAAGTACACTGTAAAATGCTGTCTTTTCTTGATGTACAGTTCCTCTGAACTAATTTAAAAACAAGAAATAGTCTCACTAAAAACCTCACAGTGTGTTCTGTGAATTATCCTGAATCATGGGGAGATGTTTCTGGAAAAGAGATCTCTCTATGGTGTTTTCGGAAAAAAGATTTTCAAGGCTGTGAGCTCCAGAGACAAACTTCCCATCACTTACATTGTGCTGCGTTAGAAACAATGTGTTGGTAGTGTGTAGCTCCAATGAAAACTGTTGACAGACAGGCTCTGCAGATGATGAACTACTATTTATACTGATAAAAATCACAAGATGTTGTTCAGATAAGGAGAAAGTCAGAAGAACTGCTTCAAAAGAAAAAGCACACAAAGAAAGGAAAGTTTTATGCTTCAAATCGCTATATTCAAATGAAAATTTCACTTCCGTCAACACCACAGTTAACCTGCACTGTACAAACGTGGAGACCCAAAACTCAGAGATGCACATCTCAGAATCAAATGAAACCAAAACTACTGTACATATATGTGCACATAACTGGAATGTGAAAGGGGAACATATAACTTGATTGAACAAAGTCCCACCTGCAGTTCAATCCCAAAGAACGTCCCTGTGGGAGGTCGTACATAACTCTCTGTGAGCATTCCAATGTAGCGGATGATGCCCCACAACTCCTTTCCTTCCTCCTCCACAATAACTCTTGTGCCCATAGTGAGTCCTTGTGCTGTTTTTAGAGCATCTTTCTGTCTGAACCACTTCAGCCTCTCCGTGTCATCAGACACTGCCAGCAGAAACCCTGCCTCCTCTGCGCTCAGTGTACTCATGCACCTCTGGTCTACGTCATAATCTAAATATTGGCCATGGAGGGAAATAACTTTCAACTTTGAGTGAGAGCCACGTTTTTGAGGTTGTTCATTATACTTAGATTTAAGGATGTAAAATAGGCGGCCGGGTTTGACAGGATAATATTCCGTGTTTTCTGTTATGATGAAGTATTGGTAGTCTGATGATGTCATGCTGCACAGGCCAGGAGGTGTAGCGGGGTACTGTACAGAAACACACACACATACAGACACATAGTGTGGATAGTGATGATACAACTTTCTCTTTGACAGTTGTGTAAATAACACTGAGGCTCTTATTACTATACATAGAATTTCAATACAATAATCAATAGCTAATGTACAGCGTCAAACTGAAATCAAACTGTAAACGTTACAACAACTCCAACCTAAACAAGTTCAAATGGTTGTTCTTACTTTCTCAAACAATCGTTTGTGACAAAGTTTGCATTACCTTCTGTTGTGTAGTAACTTTAAAATGCCCTTTCTGTTTTATCTTCGCTGTTTTGGAGAGCTATAAGTTTCACTTCCCCTTTCATTTCATTTCACAGCCGCGTCATTTGACATCTTGCACTCTTCTGAAGAAAGTAATAGTTTGTATCAAAGTTCATCAACCATCTACAGAACCTATCGACAACTATGTACCTTTTCGAGAGAGGTCATAAATGTTTTGAAGAACTATTTTCCATGTGACGTTGCTCTTTTTAAGCCAGTTGACAACCTACAGCAGGTCCTGCAATCCTGTTGGTAATTTACGCCCTCAGAGTGGCCTTACAGTCAGGGTGTTCAGGTCAAATGGTACGGAGTTTAAATGAGGTTATATCGTATTTATAGTGATACACTTAATTATCTCATTTTGCTAAGTTTTCAGCTTCATTGTGTAAGTGGGTTTATTATTGACTAACAACTCCATAGTGTAATTGGTAAACTTGTTTACAGCCTTGCTAGTTTTTTACCCCAGTATCAAATCTAAGTTGAGGATTCAGTTCACCAAAATTTCAAGGATATCGATATACTGTCTCACTTACCCCTAGCGGTATTTATCCATGCATATGGTTTTTGTTTTATGTGTTCAAGAGACAGTACACTTGATAATCCACATACCAAACAGAGTCTGAGAAAATATTTTTCACTGAAACTGATTTCTAGCATTATTCTAAACAAGGCCAAACAAGGTTTCCAGAAAGACGCTTTACAGCTAAGACTCTCATTTCACATTCAAGCATTGACGATGGATAAGGAGCAAAATATAATTTGTAAAACTGAAGAGACATAACGTGATAACCAATGAAAACAGCATCACCAGGCATTGATCATGTGGGACCTGCATATTAAAGTGTATACAATACGGAATGAAAATATTTTAATGTAAGATTTGTCTCGATAAAATCCTACCAATTAGCTTTCTTTAAAAAAAATCAAAGAAATGTTTGCGTCGTATACTGCACAATACTATGTGACACAAAATTTTAGCCTGCGAGACTCAACTGAGAGACTAAAAATCAAACTCACACCGCGGCGTATGACTGGCTTTATAAAATACGTCATCCGCAAGGGCCGTTCTGTGACACAAAATTTTAGCCTGCGAGACATAACTGAGGGACTAAAAATCAAACACACCGCGGCGTATGACTGGCCTTATATACATACGTCATCCGCAAGGGCCGTTTTTTGTCGCTGTTTGATTACATAGGGGTTAAGTTGTGAACATGGAGGAGAGAGAGGCACTAAAGAGGCAAATTGAGCTTCTTCAGAGTAAGTATCGTATTTTAAACATTAATAACGTTTTGCCAACTTTAAATTCGAAACCTGTGCTTTTTTGGTGTATTGAAAACGAACGTTAGCCGTCAGCTTTGTTTCTCAGTACTAACGGTACGCTACTGTATACCGAGGCAACGTTACCTACTTAATATATAAGGTGTGTGTAATTACAGACAGCAGTCACTGAGTAATAAATACAAAAACACAAGACACGAATGAAAACAATAAATGCACAGTTATACCTGGTGCCTATGGCAAACATAAAATGCTCTTTAAACGTAAACCAAACTATCCACATCACTAAATACCATTGAAGGAAATAAAAAAAAAAGAAGTTTGTTTTATTTGGGCAAGCTATTCCTTGTATGTGGTTCTTGTTTCTTATTCTTGTTAATGAATCATGTCCATTTTTAAATTCCCAGATCTCATAAATAAACACAAGCGTGTCCATGGTGATGTCCCATTTGCAAGAGTTGAGCAGCGTTATCCAGCCAGAGGCAGAGGTCACCACACATCTGTCAGAGGCAGAGGATATGCTCCTCAGACCCATGGAAGTTGGAGGAAGACCTACTCTCTGAGAAACAAGAGCCCTCAGTCCTCTGTTGGACATCCCTCAGCTTCTTCTTCCTCCTCTGTGTATCAGTCTAGCTCCCAAGGTTTATCTCACAGCATGTCACTGCCCAGCCACAGCAGAGGGGATGGAAGCAGTAGAACCAAGACTGCCACTTTGTCCCCAGGGATTACTCAGAAGAAGAAAGAGGGACATCTAAGCAGCAACAAATGGACAAGGGAAGATGCAACAAAGAAAATCTCCACAGAAGCTCTGCACAAGAGAGGTGAAGGGGCAGCTGTGTATGAGCATGAAGCAGGAAAAGGAGTTTCAGGTTTAGCAGGCACCAGTGTGCAACATGAGAAGCTTCACAGACAGACACAGGAATCTCAGCAGAAGGCTGAAAGCAGGCATGCTGTTCTTCTAGGAAATAAAGTCAGTGGGTCTTCAGAAGTGACTTCAGTCAAGGTCAACACCTTGACCAGTTTGCAGAGCAGTTCCCAAGTACAGGTCAAACCTTCCCTGACTAGCAAAATCAGCACTGAGAGCAGACAGACTTCTGCTACAACAACTCCAGTAGTAACAGCTGGTAAAACTACACCGCTTCCCTCAGCTCTGTCTAAAGGATCAAAACAACCTTCCCTTAACTCCTCATCTCAGAACAGCCAAGCCCAACTCAGAGCATCTTTTTCAAAAAAATCTAAGTTCACATGGGTGAAGAGCCAGAATGTGGATGCATTGGAGCCCAGAAAAGTTAGTTCAGTTTCCTTGCCCACAGCCAAAGCTGTGACTGTTTCTTCAATACCAGTCTCAAAACCAGGAGCTGCCAGTGGAAGCTCAGGCTCATTTACACTTGGTAAGAAAACTCCTGCCAAGAAGTTACCTCGAAAGCTTAGCCCGGTCACTGTAGCCCCCAAAACCTCCAAGTACAAATGGGTCTCTTCTTCTGCCAGAACCCAAGCCAGGTTATCTCGAAAACCACCATCACCCAGAGCTCTGACTTTTGCTGAGAGAGCTATTGACAAGAGTGAGGCCACAAAGAAAGTGAAACCAGGCTCCACTCACTATGTTAAAATTAAAAAGGGGACCAGCTCCCCACTCAGTAGCCGTTACAGCTGGAAGGCTGGGGCACAGTGTGCCTCTGTGGCAGTGACAGGAGGTCCATCGGTGGCTCGTCGTAGATCTGCCTTCCACTGGACTTCAGAAAAAAACAACAAAGTGAAAGGAGGGCTTGTTGTTTCCTCATCGCTACCTCAACGTACCTCCCTCCCACCCTCCTCCCCTGGTGGGTTCAAGCTCCGCAGCAGGATGAAAATCATTAGGAAGCCAGCCAGCAGGTAAACAATAGAAACATGCACAGCATCTGATTTACTTTTTTTCAGTGTTGTTTCTGCTCTGAGACCGATGTGTAAATATCTTTTGCCAAAGCTGGCAACTTGGTTCAGTTTATTGCTGAAGACACTGTTCTCTTTTGCCCTTTGTATTGTAACCACAGTGGGTCTGAGAAGGGGAGCAGCCCGTCAGCAGTAAAGTATTCCCCATGGAGCCGAATACACAGCTCAACCAGGAGTCCCATAGGGGTCAAGAGAACACCCTCTAGGGAGCTTGTGTCTTATGGCAGACACAAACTGAGGCGGCTCACCTCCACGGCATCAAGGACAAGTAAGAAGCACCAACACATTAAAATGTGACAAAAATAGGCAAGCAAAAATACAGTAGTGACAGTTATGCAGCGTTGACTTATTCCAAGCTTAAGCTAGTGTTTTGGCACCCATGCGCCTTCCTCAGAGCTCCAAACACATTCAGGTGTATTTATATTTTCAAATGAATGATACAATATGACTGTGCTGTCAAGGGCGTACCCCGCCTCCCGCCCAGCGCCAGCCGGGGTTGGCTCCAGTATGATTATAAAGTTCAGTATTATGGTTGTTCATTATGTTGCTGACAGTGTGTAAGTTTTCTACAGAGCTCTTCTGTCATTAATGTGCCATGGCCAGTTTCTCTAATGAGCTATCAGACAAAGGTTCATCCTCAGAAACTGACATTAGGGGAGGGCCATGGTTGGACTGTATTGTCTGGTCCTGTCAGGGAAGTGCTGGAACCCCACAGTCATTAATAAAGTCTTCTTTTTATTGTTCTCTTCCCATGTTTTCTCTGAAAGCATATGGATCTCAAACTCTCGACTCGACAGTGGGACTACCGCCATCCAAACTTGCTAGATTGGTTCAAAGTCTCTCCCTATGTAGTTCATAAGAAATACACCTTCTAGCCATTTGGTGGTGCTATGACACCTTTTTTCTTTGTAGCCAATAAATCACCAGCTATCCTTCAAGTACTCATAGAAACTGATGCACTAAAGGTTCAGTCAGCCTGAGATGTTGAAATGACACTGCCAATTTTAAATCACAAAGGGAAAGCAAAGATCTTGGGCTCAGGATTTGTTTTCTAAGATCCTCTGGAGCTGTTGTACCACCATCTAAAACTGACTGTGGGACAAAGCTCACCCATAGTGGACCTTCAGCTGCCACTATTACAGCCATCTCCAGTAGAGGGCAGCGTTGTCCTCCTTGTAGTGGTTTTGAGCATCCGACTGTCACAGGAGAGGTGTACATGCAGACTGGGGAGGGGGGTTAATTGATTGCCCAATTCAGCCATGATGGCGAACAAGTGCCGATAGCAGGTAATTTGCAGGGGTGGAGGCAGGCAGCACCATTGCTATCAAGCCCTGGCACTGCTCTCCCTCCAGTAGATAAAAAGGAGCTAATGCATAATTATCCTTTTGCAAATTGGATTGTTTTAACGAACTGTAGAATATAGGCCTAACCTGATGGAAAGCAATCATTGTTTTTACAGCCCCCCTCCCTCCCTTTGTCTCCCCCTCCCTTCCTGCACTTGCCCCTCCAACCCTCCGGTCATTCTGTGTGTGCCCTACACGCCTCATGCCCATCTTGGTGTAATCTCCCATACCCAATGGAGTCAGAAGACATTAGAAAAGCCATCACTATTAACATTAGGCTTTATTTGTCCCCATGGCTCTGCATCTTTCAGTCTCTCTTCTTCTGATCCTTTCATTTTATGCGCCCTGTCTCACTCCTCCTACATTCTTTTCACCTTCCCTTCCTCACGTCTCCCTGCTTTTCATGTCATGTGTGGAGAACTTGACTAGCCTACAGCAAGAGCACATGCATTTCTAATTAAGAATGTAGATTCAGAATCAGAGACGCAGGAAAAGGTGGAGCAGGGGTGAGTGCAGAGGAAGATGGAGTGAGGAAAGCTGCTCGTAGCTGTCTGTGCCTCCGATAAGAGCTGCTAATAAAGAGCAAATTGAATTACTAATGATGGGAAGCAGAGTCCCTATAGATGAGCCCGTTAAAAACCAACCTTATGACCAGTCACACACGCGTGATAATACACTCACCAACAATGTTTCTTAATTTCCTCCTCAATGACTAGCTTTAGCCTTCTCTCTTCACCTTAGGGGCAGGCGTTTTCTGAGCTGCTCCGTTATCTGTGGTTTAATTTAAAGAGAGCATAAACCTAAGTAAGCAGTTAGGGCTGTAATAAATTGAGAGCTGTGTGTATATATGTCTATATGTGCATGTGCTTGCATGCGCCCAGAGACAGCCATGTAGCCCAGATAATCTAATAAAGCAGATAAATGTCAGGAATGAGCAGAAGACAGAGAGGGAGAGTGCTGAGGCGAGCGTCTTCAGGCCCCGTGTGACAGGCTGCTGGGCGGTTTAGGCCTCTCTCTCATTGTGCCTTCTCAGTCTGTTCCTCTCTGGAACTGTTTCCACTGTTCTGCTAATGTTCACAGTGATTTTTTTTTCTTCCTTTATTCAAACCCAGAACTGCAAAACACTTTGCAGACTGCAGGCGCCTTGGTTTCCTCTCATTTTAGGTCTGAAATGTCATAAGAGTTAATCAGACTTTTGAATTAGAACTTTCTTTAAACACAAGTTGCCTTTTTTTTTTTTCCCATTTACAAGCTTTTGAAACGTCAGTGTATCAAATCAGTTCTTAGCATTTATCACATGACAAAATAATTAGGATCTAGTTGTACAGCTAAGTTTGTTCATTTATTGATTAGCCCACTGATTATTTTCTTGAATGTTTAGTCTATAAATTGGTGAAATAGTAGTAGAAAAGCTTTGACAGTTTTGTAAGGTGATGCCTTCAGATGATGTGTCAGAAAGATATTCAGTTGGCTCTCACACAAGAGAGAAAATCAGCAAATCATCACATTTGATAATCAGGGAAATGCATTTAGATGTTTTTGCACATCCATCTACTGGGCGTGGTTTAGGTACAAGGGTTAAAACTGCTTAATTGGTCAATACTTTTCTCCTGGGTGTGATGCTGCGGTGAAATTAAATTAATCGAATACATAAAAAAAGCTAAATCACAGTAAACCGTGTAATAGGAATGGAGTAATTTTACACTTTATTCACAGTTGACAAGATCTAGGAGAAAAATGTTTGTTCAGTTGTCATTAAGTTAGAAATCTTGTCTTATAACCCACTAAAAAGTATGTGTTTCTCACACCCATTCAAACTCGTGAATATATTACTATAACTGGACCTCCTGGATCATATTTAATCTTCTCATCTGACTATATCAGCCCCTTTTATTCTTTCAGTGCTGAGTTTTTCAGGACTTATAGCTCTAATTAGAAGTTTAGATGTCAATATATAACTTGGCAACATTAGTTTAACTTACCCAGTCTATTCAATTCAGTTTTTTTTATATAGCACCAAATCTCAAGTCAATCAGGACACTTTTCAAAATAAGGTCTAGACCTTACTGTCATTATAGAGGAAAATCCCCCTTGAGCAAGAACTTGGCGACAGCGGGGAGGAAAATTTCCCTTTAATGGAAGAAACCTCCAACAGACCTCGGCTCTTGGTGGGCGGCCTTCTGCCTTGACCGGTTGGGGTGAGTGGATAGAGGAGAGAGAAAAGAAAAGCAACAAGACACAACAAACAAACACTGAGCAGGTTGATTAATAGTCGAAGCTCTCTGCCACACCTCCACCTCGGCCTGTGCTTCGAGGGATGTGACAGTTACTCTGACCAGGTGGGGTGGATTCATTTAGACTGACATTCTTCTTGCTGTAACCAGGTTTCAGTAAGACACAATAAAACAATGTGATGTTCACTTATCAAATCATTCACTAAAAGAGATTTTGATGAGATTCAAGATTTTTGTTTGCCATTTATGCATAAACAGACAGTCTAGGCATATAGGGATTCTTGTGTAGGGCTCTCCTGGAGTCACGTAAAGAGTTTAAAGCCAAAAGAATGAACAAGTAGTCTATAAGATCACCGAAGAATACGAAATGAGAGAGATCTGATATTTAATAGTCCACATTTGATTTTCCTGTTATTTTGTTTTGTAAGAGGGGTAGAGTAAGCTATCTGGTAGCAAGCAAACCCAACCTAGACCACAACCCTAAAAGCAAGTATTAACCCTCCAGCAGCCCTTTGAAGCCTTGAAGACTGTTGTGTCCTCACAGTGTAGGCATGTCCCCCTGACTGGTTTCAAACTAAAATTTGTTCACTCAGCCATAGAAAGATGTAGACACACAGCGGGGTCAGGTTGTTGACCTGTTTGTGTGTTGTTGTAGGAGTGGCTCTCTCACAGTGACAGTCCTGCCATCTTTGTTCTCTCAGCACCAGCTTACCAACAAGCTCCACACTGACACCATGGAGCCCACTACCGCCACAAAAGAATCCTCACCCCCTCCTTCAGGGATCCTATTACCATGCCTGCACTGATCCCATTTGTTTCAGCCATTTATCATATGTGCTGCTCTGCACTGAGGGCCTGCTCTCACTGACGTTTCCCACTTTCTCCAGTGATATGTATGAACACAGTACTGTATGTGTGTATGGACACATGCAAACTGTGCTGTAAAATAATTTGAGAAACTCACAATCTAGCATCAAGTTCCTCAGTTCATATGATCAGAATACTAGTCAGTATTAGAATGTTTCTGACACGGCAGCAAAAACACCTCCTGACTAATCCAGTAGGGTTGTGGGTGAAGATGTGCTTGGCTGGATGGATGAAAGTTTCAAGAAAATGTTGATTTATTTATTTTTTTCTTTTTTTTCCTCCTGTTTTGAAACATGTTTTACATAATTTGTCGACCATAGTGTCTTTAAGGAAACTCCTTCTTGGCTTAAGGTGCGTCATGTCTTGTGTCTAAGACCAACTGTCACTGGCAGCATCTGCCAGTTCTTCTAAACATCAGCATCCATTGTTCTCTAAGCCCACACACCTGAGGCATCTGGCTACGTGTCACTCAGGGATTGATTAGCATCAACTCAGGATGTGCCACTGTTCTGTTTTCCTGTCTCAGAAAAGCAGCTCTTTCTACACTGGCTCCCTGGACTGACACATCCCATCTACTGGACATTCACTACTTGTTCTGTCTGTATGATGCATGCATTGTGGGATGTGGGGGTCAGTTTACGTTCCTCTAAAGTTTCTGTCATTTATGAGAAAAGTAGAGGATTTGCTGGCAATCTAATGGGGCTGATGTTTCCCATTGCTGTCTATCTTGTCTTGTTTTCCCTTAGTCTTGTTTATAACATTGGAAATCTGATTCTTAGATTATTATTAGTCCTCTTAGGTTATCATACACACTACCATTCTAAAGTTGGAATTCCATGGTTGGAATGGTCACCTCTATTTTTACAGTTGCGGTCAGTGTAATCCAACAAACACACCTGTGTCATTTTTTTCTACAATGGAAATCAAACATAGCTGGGACAGACAGTAGCTGGGACAGACAGCACTGTTGCAGAAGTTCCCACAGCTTTGCTTTGGTTTGGTTTCACTCCTCACCTGGAAAGTCTGGACACTGTGCTGCCGTTCCATCATGTGAAGCAGACAGTCTCGTTCTTTTCTTCTTCACAGCCTGGAGCTGTTTTTGGCTTGTTCTCCTACTATAGGATGAAACCATGAGAAGCTCTGACTTCCTGTGTTCATGGCCTTTTTCCAAATGATGCTTCAGAGGGTGTAACACAGTCTGTTCCAACTCTGCCTTTGTACAGACAGAATCTGTTGCTGTCAGTCATCAACAACAGTTGGGACCTGTAGGAACTGTTTGCATCTGTTTTCAAAGCTTTATTTACTTCCACTGCTGCAGGAAGGATGGAAGTTCACCTTTTAATGGATCCCTGAAAAGTTTATATCAAACTTGCATTCAGTTTTTGCTGGTGGTGACTTTCTTTAACCTCTGGCAGTTTACTTCTTAGCTTTGCACCATTTAAGGTTATTCACTGGACTTGAATTCTTGACATGTCAAATAAAAACTGGAAAAATGGAGGTGATCCCAAACCTTTGAACAGTCATGTACAGCACATGCTTGAAGTTCTTGTATCTTCTTGTTCTTTTCTGGGAGATAGGAAAAATAGCCATGTTGTTTTTTTTTTTTTTTTGTCTTATGTTTGTGATGTGTTGACTATTGTTAGTCTGAGAGATCCTTGTCCTTCAGGGGTTTTGGGATGTCCTTCAGCAGATATGATAAGGAGGTAATCACAGAACATTGCAGCCAATACATTTTTGATGCACTGCAAGATGTGCAACTGCGCTCTAAAGCCCACTCTGCCCTTTTTTTAACATCAGCTTGACATGGCACAGGTTTGTTTATTTGCATCACTCTCTAGTTCACACTTGCTCCAGTTTCTCCCACTCTTCCTTCGTCCTGCAGCCACTTGTCCTGCGCTCATCTCCCGCTGACTCGCTCTCCCACATTTACACATACAGAGGCAGGTTATAGAGGACATTAACCCGCCGTTTGTATGTTTGGAGCACACAGCCAGTGTTGCTATGTGCATCCTGGAAGTGTCACCTCATATAATATGGATTCATATGCTGATCTTTCTCAGAACCTTTTTTTGGTCAAATGGTTTTAATAGTTTGTGTTTAGGTGTGTATAATTCTCCTATCAGCTGCTTTTCTACATACCATTCTTCACATGCCACTTACTCCAGTGCTTCCATACTATTATCAGTTGGCGACACACACATTGGCACTGTGTGGACCACACACACACACACACGGGCATTCTGCTCATTCCGCTGCACTTTCTCAGGCTCTCTGTGTCAGACAGGTGGACCTCTGTCTTCCCTTCCTGTGTCTCTCTTTCTTTCTCTTTCTCTCTGTGGCTTTTTTCCTCTTCCTTTCTTGTTATATCTGTCACCATTTGTGTCACCCACACACATACTTTACAAGATGTGTATACACACACACACACACACACACACACACAAATTCACACATTCAGAATTGGTGCATTGCCCTAATGATTAAGGCAAAACCTGCCGTTTTCACTACAGACAGAAAAGGAATGTAAACGAAAGAGGATCTAATTTTTGTTTCTTTGCTCTGGAAGCATTTAGGAGACGAGCTTGAACCATGGCATGCATTTATCACATATAAATAACAGTATGGCTATTTGGTTGCATGGATGATTCAGTTTCTCATGTAGGATGGTGTCTTGCTTTTTATGCTGCATACCAGAGTGAGGGGATGAGCTGCACATGTTGAAATGTGTAATCAATACTATTGAGTGCAGAAACTTTAGCCTGACATGACTGTGGCTTCTTCCCAGTTAAGGAGGTAAATGTTTTCTTGGTATCCAGAGAACTGGCCCGTGTGCCAGGCTACCTGAATAAATCAGAAACAAAGTCCTGCTAATTATTTGAGAACAAGGTTGGCAATGTGTTTTTTTTTTTTTTTTTTTTTTTTTTTTTTTTTTTATTTTTTTTTTTTTGGTAAATGCATTGGCTGGGGTGTGGGCTGTTGCTGTATTTAGCTGGAGGGGTATGAATCCAGCATTTATACCCGATTCTTTATGACCTCTTCTGGCCACTGTCTGTGGTGTCTGATTTACTCTGTTCGAGAAATGATTAGTGCTTCCACTCTCATTTTTGTTTTTGATTGACTCTACCTTATTTTTGTTTTGTTTTGTTATATTTTTTTTATTCTACTTCTGCATTAGCCTATAGTTATACCATATGCAAGTTGGGATGGCTTCTGTATGTGCAGACACTCAGTATCAGAGTTGCAACCAGGAAATTGTTTGGTGGAGGTGGTAAGTTTAATAGGCTGAACATTATTGTTCATAAAAATGTAATAACCTCCTCTGATAATAGCTGAGGTGTTGATTTCTGGCAAGGTAGGGTCACGTTAACTAAAAACACTAGAAAATAGTGTGGTACTGATTTCCATGATTTGGAAGAAGAATGTAGTATTAATAATATACTGTAATGTACTGTTTGACAAGAAATGTCAAACAAATGCAATGTGAACATGCACTGCTGTTTGAATTACAAAACTGAAAAGTTTCAAATGTGCCATTTAATTATTATTATTTTTTTTTTAACTGAGCCGTATGATTTACAGAACAGTCAACTGTCATGTGTTCATTATTTATACTTAATGGGCAAAAAGCTGCAAAATGGTCCGTTAACAGATCCCTTTTAATACATGTCTTTACCATTAAAAATACACTGTATTCAGCAGTCTAGCAGCAGAATATAAACTTCATTCATTCTTGAGCTGTTGGTCTAAATTTATTTGTGTGTGTTTGTGTGTCAGTCCAGTCTGGTTTTGGTTTTGTTGTGTTACATAAAGCCAGTCTGTTCTGGTGACAGGGAGGTGAATTTCAGGGGCCATTAGGAGCTGCTCCATAAATCTTCACCTTTGTCAGCTGGAGAGCATCCTGGTATAGCTGCCCAGCCCCTCACTCTGCTGTTTCACTGACCCTATGACAGTAACCCTATCCCCCCCCAGCTCTCCTCCATATGTCTGCACACACTGTCACGGTACCATAATAATCACTGGGGCTTTGCTGTTTACATGGGGGAAAATGAGCCAAGAGTCTGAGGAGTGCTTGGCACGTTAATTATGTCTAGTATTAGCTTTACAAAAGTTGAACTGTGGTTTAAGCTAAAACACTGCTTCATTTAATAGTGGAGGGTCCAAGCAAATGCTCAACATACAGTCGCAAGAAAAGGTAATGGCACTGTTTGTAGTTTCCTGGTTTTCTGCATAAATTGGTCATGAAGTATGATCTGATCTTCACCAACATTTCCTATGTTTTCAACAAAGGACTGGTCCTTCGAAAGTGCACTGTGCACCGGCTAGATAAAAGATGAGGTTCCTCAGCTGCATAAGCAGGATGTTTCAAAACATTCAGAGCAAAGGCAACTTCATTTATATAGCACATTTTCATAAACAACGGCAAAGTGCTTAGCACAATGTACATAGATGTGCATTCCCTGTCCAGTGGAATGCACACAGAAAGGTCAAACATTAAAATGTATATAGATAAGACATTAGAATGCAAATTAGATAAAACATATAACTTAAAAGCAACACTTGCATGACAGTACAAGTAGCAACATGCATGAGTAGATGCCTGGTACTTTTAGTATAGCTGTGGCAGACTGTAGATTCTCACTCTTCTTGTATTTTGAACTCCTTTATTTCAGTCTGGCCAAGACAAATCTCTGACTCCTTGAATATCAGAGGCGGGTGTACTTTCTTCCAGGAATTGGAAATACCAGTGTCTATACAGTCAGCTAAACAGTCCCAAAGAGGCAGGTCATTGTAGGCTTCAAACATCACTATATCCTGTCCAAGCACATGGTTATCAGTAGTGTGCTGTTAGTTTTGCAATAAATACCAGTGCTTTCAAAAGGTTTATGCACACAGTGTCTTCAGGTCGAGGAGAAACCAGGTTGGGACCCCCCCCCCCCGTCATACTGGCTTGGACACCTGAAGCCCCCAAAGTTTATTCTGGTGTTGTCGTTCACCGACTCCCTACTACCTCCCTCACTAGTCCCTACTACTCTTTTCATCCATCAGAGAACCTCTCCCTTCGCTCTCACCACCCTTTGCTCTCCTTTGTGTGTGTGTTTTTCTCTTACATGGGGAAAGTTGAATTTTGTTCACTCTCTCAGGCACACTGGGTATTTGACTATGTGCCTCCAGCCACACCTGGCATGCAAACTCTTAATATCCTGACTTTGTCTTACATGTTTGGCACTTCTGCTTGAATAAATAACTTAAAGCATTTATTGATTTATCAAAATAGTTTTGTGTTAAATTATCAATTAATCAGCAAATCATTGTCCTAACAGAGGTCTTGATGATGTCTAAGCAGTATATTTTAACTTGGTTAAAGAAGGTAGTGAACACCTGCACACTTTCAACATTAGTTCATCAGCAAATGAAAGTTATGCTCATAGGCCTTTGCCAGACATGTATAAATTGGATTTAAAAATAGCCTTGTGAGAAGAATTGTCTTGGAACATAGGAGGAACATCTATTGGAATATTTGAGGAGGTTGGTGCACGACCAGAAAATCCTACAGGTTTTAAATAACATGAGTTAGCCAGATGTATTTGAAAGACAATTCAAAGACAGTGTTAACAGACTGAAGGATTATTACCCAGATCGTGGGTGTTTTATTTTGAGACCTGCCCCCACATTAAGTCTTTCAGATAACCCGTTTAAACTGCTTGCTTGTTTTTAATCTGTCTGACCGTCTCACTGCTTGTGTTTGTTGCAAGATATCTGACACTTGTCTTTCCAGATTTCAGGTATTACTTTGAGTTCAGCGTACAACTGGTGGTAAAAGTTATCTTCCCCTCCTCTGCAGAGCCCCAGCTGTGTGAGTTTGTGTTTAATAATGGATGATTGTTTGTGTTTGTCAGTAAGCATGCTCTTGTTAAAGGATTTTAAGATAACTGCTAATTCCTGCAGGGCTGTATTGATCAGCTGTGCTGGGTGTGGGCTGTTTTATGGCCGAAGAGGAACGCTGAATCCCCCTCCATCACCCCCTTTCCATGCTCCTTCACTACCCTCTTCCCTTGTCAAGGGTCTCTCTCTCTCTCTATCTCTCTGGTTGAATAATTAATGCTTAACCTATTTAATTAGTGGGATTTACTCTGAACAGTTGCAGAGTAATTGAGTCTTCAACTGTGTGTGGTTGGGGTGTGTGTGTGTGTGTGTGTGCGTGTGTGTGTGTGTATATGTCACATGTACACTGGTTGCATCTTTAAGTGGCTCGGTTCCCCATGCATTCTGTTGAAACAGCTTTAGTGATTTACCCCATCCCCCGGCTTTGATGGTACTGTCAGTGAGTTGGCATTTGTGGTAGAGGAGATGTAACCAGTTTGGTATGGTAAGTCTGACGCAGGAAGCTCTGGTTGCATTCATGCCAGTTGGGTTGGCATGGAGGGCAATGGGGAGTTTGACTGTGAGCTGTGGTTGTGATATTAATAACAGCACTACGGGCCAAAACAATGATGAAAGATTTGTTGGTCATCTTTGGTGTTGTAATTAAGGCTCAGCACTAGGGCTGCGTGATATGGCCAAAAATATGTCACAATATATTCTTTCATATTGATTTATAATGGATATATACCGTACATGCAGTGCCCTTAAAAAAGACTGTGAGATCAAAGGACAAACAGTTTGAAAGCACGTATAACAGCACGTCGAAAGCAAGCATACAGATGTGGCTGAAAGTGTTGGTACCTGAACACGGAACTCTTGTTGCTGTTTTTACGTTCTTTTTCATATGTCGCCTTTTTTAATGTTTATTCATCTTAAGCCACTTGCTGTGCCTGAGTGCTGATGTGGTTGGGAAATCCTTGGTAAAACAGACAACACACAGGCACATTCCCCACAGTTGTGGTCTTGAATGCTCTCAGCTGCAGCGGCACTATTTTTTTCTTCTGTGGGTGAATCTTTTTATCTGTGGGCATGTTGCTCCAGGTAAATTGGTTTATTCATGGTAGTAGGGGTATTGAGTTGTAGTGTATTAAAGCTGCATGTAAGCCGGCTGACCTTAACAGGAGTATGACAAATAGCCTGGCTGCATCATGAATGTAAATATACAGGAAGAGTTGCATTGGATACCTGGGCCATTATTGGTTTAAAATCTGCACACACATTTTTTCCTATTAATACTTACTTAATACTATTAATACAGTTTAATTCATGCAAACAGACTTATTTTGCTTTTGAAGATTCTGACTCAAACCTAAACGTGTCTCTGTGGTGGGCCACACTGTGTCTGTGGGAGCACGGCAAAGTGTGACTGAGAGAGAGAGTACGCTATTGATCTGGGGCAGTTCATTTTCTGCTGTCCCTGGTGAGTTGCTCTGGGGGAAATGGCTAGTTTGTCTCCTGTCATTGTAGCTTCAGAGATAAAGAGGATTAAAAAAAGAGGGAGCTGGGGAATGAAAGCCACTTGTCCAGCAGAAACCAGAGCATCATGACCACAAAGACTCCCACTGTCACAGAGGAGGTTCAGGAGGAAACTGTTCTCATTTTAGCCTAAAATGTTAAGTATATGCACAGGATTCATATACTGCACCCTGGACACATTCTTGTGTTTTTAGCACCTACAGTTATGTCATATGTGGGGCTAAAACTGTGTAGGCTCTTGTGAAGAAGGTGATATTGATCATTTGCTGTCTACTGTCCCCTGCCCCCTTGTGAATTGCTCTGTGGGAAGTGGTTAATTTCTCTCCTGTCCAGTGTCTTCTCTCTCTTTCTCTGTGTGTGTGTGTGGTTAATTTGTGTCCTGTCTTTGAGGGGCTTAGCTGTTAAATACCTCACTCTGTCTCTGAGTAGACACACGCTGAAATCATTGATTGTCTTGTTTGATGAGAGTAATGCTGGACTAATAGTTGCCATTAACAATATACACTGTAATGTAAACTGAAAATTGAAAATGGTGTAAGTTGGGGAAAATGAAGAAAGCAGCAGGTTAATGTTGCAGAGTTCTTTGTTTTCAGGCACCACAGTGAGTGAATGCATTAGACATTTACATGCAGCCTGCTCTTAAACCAGGATGGGAATGTTTAAACATCAAAATCTCAAATTATCAGTGAGGACAAACAAAAAATAGCAAAAAAGTACAAATTGTATCATTGTCAGTCATTTATCTCATAAACATACTACTGAAGGAGCATATTTACAGGTACAACTAGTCTGTAGTTTGCCAAATTAAACAATGATAAATAAGAGAATAAAATAATTATTATTTAGTTTGCCATCTTACACAGAACTCATCTAATCAGCCTTCAAGAGAAATGCACCTCACAAGTGATGCTACAGACCAGTACATAATACTCACATTAAACTTAAAGGTCACAGTGAAATAAAGAAGGCACATACTTCTTCCCTGTTTCTGTCTCTTGACCAGAAACATTGCATCAGTTGTATTATGTGATACTTGACAACATATCTGCCTGAATGTCTGAATTAATAGAAATACATTTTATAGAAGTTATGCACAGTTTTTCCAATTACTGGCCAGGTACCCACCAGTACATTATTTTGTAGTCAAATAATGTTGCATACTTCATACATGAGTTATTTCCAGGAAGTTGTTTTGAATTTTTCTGTTTCACTAGTTCTATAATCTGTGATGTTGCAGTCAGTAAGAACCAATATAACCATACAAGTGGCAAATTTTGCTGTGACTTTATGTTGTGAATGGTTAGTGTTAGTCTTAATGTTGTTTAGCCGAGCCTTTCAGCTGTTTTGTGAAGCTTTGCTGTGACTTTGAAAGACCTTTAATAGTACATATGCGTATGTGTTTGTGAGCAGACTGAGCCAGCGGT